CAAAAATCTACTTTTTCTTTCTGTCATATCCCTCCCCACTAGAAAAAGAAAAACACAGTCCTATAGCAAATCTGTATAGTCAAGCAAAACAAATTCCTGTTTGTGCCATGTCTAAAAATACGTCTCATTCTGCTTCCTCAGTCCATCACCCCTCTCTCAGGAGGTGGGTAGCATGCTTTATCATCAGACCTCTGGAGTCATGGGTGGTCATTGTGTTGATGTGAGTTCTTACTTCTTTCAAAGGATATTTGTCTTTACTCCCAAATCTCACCGACACATCTGGATGGTGTAAAAGAGAGTTGGAATCGTAGGGAAAATGTCAGGTTACTCATGTTCTAGTCCCAGCTAACATTGCAGAGGTGTTCCTGAAAATATAAGTGCAAGTCAATTTTTGTAGAATAAACGCTATCTTATTTCTACTCCCCAACGTTTCTGTTGGGATTTCTCTACCATATCCCAGAAATCTCTTTGTTCTGGAGGATTACTCTAGCCCTGGAATTCACACCTTGGAAGTAACCTTTGCCCCTGTGACCCCACCCTCTAATAGGAGAGGCTGTCCTAGAACTTCCATTTGAGAGTGCCCAGGCCAGCCACGTCTTCTTTTCTCACCAGGTTGCACTTGGGACTTCTCTACCATAACCTCAAGCTGGATGCCTTCATCCCTTCTCATCTTTTAAAGCTTCTTTTTATTTTTTGTGCTTTCTTGTGTGTGTGTGTTGGGGTGGGGGGGAGCATTGTGTTTGTATGCTCAGTGCTTAGCACAGTGCCTATCACTATGTTCATTACCTACTACTTACTATGGTGAAGGGTTAATAATGTTTGTTAAGGTTTGTAGAGAGGAAAGTGCTTGGCTCCATGCTTCCCCACCCCTTTTACTAAAGCATGCTAGCTAGTTTGAATAAATCTCACTCAGCTGCCTCAGGAATTTGAGAAACAACTGGAAAGGCATTGGAGTGCTTTGTGAAGCTTTGGGACTGGTGAAGAGCAGTCATTTGGGTGGGAGATACTGGCATGGGTGCTGAAGGAAAAAGACTTTTGTCTTTGAAATCACTATGCTGTAGTCAGGTAGGAGTGGTTTAGACATGCTTGGTGATAAGCTAGGAGTTGTAGGGTATTCCCGCCTGGGTAAATTTCATTAAATTCAGAGGTCAGCGGGAATCATGGTTCAAGAGAGAGTACATGAAGGGGTCCTGCTTTGTACAGTCTGCCTTGGAAATGTGATGAAGTGAGAAGTGTTACTCTGGCTCAGACAGGTAAACTGCCATCCTCTCAGCAATACTAGGCCAGGGCCCATTACAGAGAAAGCTTTGTCTCTGGCAAAAGGCTAGGGGTTCTTGTGGAGGAGCTTTCCAGAATCCTAGAAGGACTTCAAGCTGACCAGGGAGGGGAGGTAGGAAGCTATGGAGTATGGGAAAGATGGGCAGCTGATGCCTTCTGCTGGTTGGTAGCTATGAAGAAGTGCAAGAGAAACTATTGTCCCAGGAACTAAATTTGAGAGTCTCAAACTATCCATGCTTCACTTTCTGGTCTAGATCACCAGGCTTCAACTTCCTTCTACCCTTGAGGCCCCTTTTTCCCACTGGTGACTTCCTCCTTGGAACTTCCATTTTGAAAAAATGGCAAGATCAGTCATGCTTCACTCTCCAGACTTCACCACCATGTTTCTACACGGGTACCTTACTCTACTCCCTCCACATACTTGCTTTTCATTTCCATCTTCTGCCTTTCAGAATGTTTGGGCCACTTCACAACTCTTCTAACAATGTGTGTACATGTCTTGTCTTTCTATAGCTCCTTGAATAATTGTTATTTTCCTTTCTGTCATCTTTGCCAAACTAATGGATAAGAAATGGAACCTCAGAGTAGCATTGAGGTGTATGACTCTTATTTTGATTATGAATAGTATAATTTGATTGTTGATTGCTTGCAATTTTTCTTTTGAGAACAGCTTACTCATAACATGAGAGGCAGCTAGGTGTTGTGGTGGATAGCATTGTGACTTCATCATGCTAAGAGGTAGGTCTAATGGATGGTGGGCTAACTCTGGGGTCATAATATTGATACACATAACCCACATAAACAAAAGCTCTTTGAGGTCTCCAATAATTTTTAAGATTATAAAGGGATCCTGAGACCAAAAAGTTTGAGAACTGCTGTACTAGATCACGCTTTTTTTTGCACTCCAGATAACCTAGATCTCTATACATAACCTCAACTTTTTAAACAGATTTGAAAATGCTTTTACTTTGGTGATTATTATTGACATTTCAGAGTGCTTAGGGATATAATAAAATAATTTGTAAGGGGGTGGAGATAGGGTGCAATTTGTATGGCCAATAGCATAGATAGTGCTTATGAAAGGACATAAAAGGAAATTGATTCCCTGGTGTTGGATCCTGAAACTCGAGGGGAAGATAACTGATAATTCAGTTCAACGAATGCTTATTAATGTATTGGATATATGCTAAACAAGAAAAGAAATGAATCAATCTCTCATCTTAAGGAGACAACATTCTGCAAGAAGAATACAGCATATATGCAAGGTAAGGTGAGAATGGAGAAAATACTTGAGTAGTGGGAGAAAGTTGATCTGGAGACCCCTGATCCTCTAATTTCCCACAAGCCTAATTCATGAAATCACAGGAGCTCAAGGGCCAGTTAATAGACAATAAGATGATAAAGTCTTCAAGAAAGGGAAAAGAAATGACTAATTTTTGCTTCCATTTTATCAGATGTGAAGGAATTCTTTAATCAAGCTTGATGGCATTATTGAGCCATTGGCTGACAGAAGGATCCCCATACCCTTGGTAGCCCTTGAAAAAATGAGACACTCTCCAGGCAAAAGTCAATGCAGTAGATGTCTCTGAGGAGTTTAATCTGTGGAGGAACTATGGAAGAACCACTCAGCTCTTGAGAGGAAGTAACTCCTTGTTCTTTTGAGGAGAGGGAGACATTTTTCTCTCTTCCCCCTTCCCCCTTCCCCCTTCCCCCTTCCCCCTCAAACATGGTGTCTGGCAGTGCAGCTGCTTGCCCAGTGGGGGCTTCTCACAACCAGGGAGAAGGCTGTGAGAGGAAATAAGATGTACCCAGCAGAAATATTATGTCCCTTGTGAAGTCATCAAGAGAAGAGAAAGAAAGTCAGGCCCTGAGGCAATAGAAGTATGAGTCTCCTTGACTTTGTATGTTCTCTAATTGTGTTCTCACTCTTTCCAATAAGGTGAGGTTTTGTGGGAGAGTGTGTTTCTGGTTGATGGGGGGAATATTTTATAACTATGATTCTTACAATACCATTTTCAGTAAATGCCTTTGCTTTGAGTAAATTGTGTCAAGTGACTAACTGTTAAAGGCAAAAGCATTGATGGGGACTCATGAGCTGTAGTTTTAAGAAGGTGGACCCCCAGAGCACGTTAAACCTGAGGTTAATTCCTCCATCCCTCCCACCACCCCCATGCAACCCTTCAAAAGTTGATTTCCTGAACGTCCTGCTGAAGCAACTAAAACTGCTTCATTCTGACTAATGCAGCCATGCAGGAGGCAAATTAGTATAGAGTATAGGAGGGAACAGTTACCATAGTAAGAGAAAGCTTCATAATCTTTGTGGGTAGACTTGGCGTAGCAAGGAGAATGAAGAACCAAAGCCCACCCCTGGTGAAAGTCCATAGGGAAGAGCAGAAAGAAGAGCAGCCAGGAAGAGACACTGGGAGCAGCAGCTAGACGGTTCAGAGTGGATCCAGGATGCTGAGGTGTCGTTTAGAGATGTGTGGATGTAGGGAGGACACAGTGTGCAGGTGGTGGTGTTATAAAGGATATTCTTAAATGTTCAGAACTTCTCTTAGTAAAAAGTAGAGAGAAGACACCCAAAAAATGGCCATCTTTTCCATTTTCTCTGCAGTCCCTAGACCTGGTGCTGGAAGGCAGTAAGAAGCTCCCAGCTCTCAGATTACCTGAGCACAAGCCTCAGTGAGGAAGTTGGCTCTATCAAGAACCTTGACTTAAGCACCAACCGCATGTAGAAAGAACTGTGGCAAGTACTGGGGGAAAGACAGCATTCCAATTAGACACAAGGTAAGGAGCAGCTTCCAAAGAGATTCCTGAAAGGGCAGGGGTATCCAACTTTTTATGATGAGGAAATGCCTTGAAATCATCTGGGTGGTACTATTACTGACAGGTAAATACTACTCATTAGTACAGGCAGCAGAGAAGAGCTGTCATTTCAACCTCAGCAATTTTGGTCAACCTTCAGATAAACATGGCTATAAGGAAACAGCCACTCTAGGGTGGAAGCAGCTTCAAGGAACATGAAGAAACAGAAGAGAGTCAGACTGCAGAGAGAAGACCCTGGATATCCAGGTGAGCAACCCATCCAGAGAGAAACAATATCTAGGTCATGTAGTAACAGGAGTTGTGAGTTGGCTTTGCCACACATGTATCCTACAGATCTACCTCACTACCACTGTGCTCCAAGTTTGAGTCTACTTTCGCCATGGACACCATGTATTTGTGGGAGAGTATACCCCAGGTTTATGGGGGGTGGTGTTTGATAACTACTAGTCTTTCTATGCCATCTGAATAAAAATGACTTTGCTCATTCTGTCTGCTGGCTGGTGGTAAATTGGGGCTCTTGAGATAAAGGAATGTACACCCTCGCATTTGCCCTTACTACCTGGGACAGCAGCCTTTATTTGGGAACCCAACCTATAACTGTGTGTGTAAGTTGGGGAGGAGTCCAGAGAGAATGCTACCCAAATTTGCTTGGCAGTTTTACAGGGTGACCTAATGCTCCTTGACTATTGGAAAGCCAGTATCTGCTGTGGGATGAGCTGAGATGTACAATGATTTAAAGCAGATGATTTCAGAATTGATTAAAATTTTTTAAATTGACATTTTATTTCTGAAAATATCCTTTCCCTCTCTATCCAGTGAGCCATCCCTTATTAAAAAAAAAAGGGGGGGGAAGGGAACATTGACTGAAACTAACCAATACATCATCAAAGTCAAACTATACTTTAAAAAGATCTATGTTTTGTTTCAGTTGTGCTTATTGATACAGGATGCTCATGAAAGGAACTAGATGCATTCTGGACTGTGACTCTAAAAGTAGGTCAGTTCATCATCCTTGGTTTTGCCGGTCTGGTAGGCTGACAGCTCCATTGGATCATTCGTGTAAGGGAGAGGTCTGAATACTTTCAAATGTACATATTGATCACCTCCAGTATGTACCTGCAAATAAAGAGAAGCAGAGAATCAGTGACATGTATTCCAACCCAGCATTTCTCACCTCTCAGGGCCATTGTATGGGCATTGCTGTTTTAGGTAGGGGTTTTGACTAGATGACCTCTGATATGAATTTTATATTTTTATTCTAACCTATGAATGGGCCTATTCGTGCTTTGAAAAAATATAACAGGAAGTTACCTGAGTGATCATATAGCTGTATTTTTAAAGCTAAAGGAATTGAGTCCCACAAAGGTGCAGCAAATAAGACTATTCAAATGGGCACCAATATCATGCTACTCCTAGTTCTTAAGGTCACAGATTTAAAGCTGGAAGGAACTTTAGTCCCATCTGCTCATTTTGTAATTGAGGAAACTAAGGTCCAGTGAGGTTAGTCACTTGTCCAGTTTGTAAGTTACTTGTAAGGCTTTTAGGGGATGCAGTGGATAAAGTAATGGACCTGGAGTTAGGAAGACCGTCAGTCATTTCCTGTCTGCCACAGTTTCCTCAAATGAATTCCTCAGTCCCCCCCAAATGGGGATAATAAAAGCACTTACCTCATAGAGCTGTTGTGAGTATCAAGTAAGATCACATTTATAAAGAACTTAGCATCATGCCTGGCACATAGTTGTTGTTTAATTAATACTTGTTCTTAACCCTGCCTCCCCCACCATTCTCTTCCTTTCCCTTGTCCATAGTCACAAGGTAATAAGCAGCTGAGCCAAAATCTGATCCCAAATCCAGGGCTGTTTCATTACAGCACAGCTGACGCTAGTTGTTAAGCACCTGGATTTTTGAACACCTAAGCAGCTAATTTTTAGTAACAGAGTCAGTTACTATGTTGAATTTGAATTGTGCCTCTGTCCCAGAGTTTCATTTATTTTTAAGGTTTTATTTTCTGAAATGCGTAGGAAAAAAAAGATCTTGTGTCATACAAAAATATGGGTTTCCTCTTTTTGATTTTTATCCAAGCCCCTATGAAAATGTGGCCTTTGAACATCTTGTGTCTTCCTTCCAATGCTGGGTTTCTTGAGGGATAGCCCTAGCTGCTCACTGGTCCCATCTGTGGTTTTTAATCTCCCATATTCCTTCCAAATAGTAGCACTTAGCAAACTATCTTTAACAGAGTTCTATCTTTAGAAAATCAGAGTAAATGAAACCAACAAGACAGCTAGGTAGTGCTTTGGATAGGTAAGTCACATAACCACTGGAGGCCCCAAGTGACTCCCTAGGACTGATCAGCCAAGTCAATAGTTGGGTTCAGATCTGTGTTAGTAGAGAGGGTTCTCAGATCCAGCATTTCCCACAGAAAGAGAGAATGCTGGGCCTGGAGTCAAGAAGACCTGAGTATGAATCTCACCTCAGACATTGCTAGCTGTGTGACTCTAGGTAAGTCACTTAATCTCATTTTCCTCACCTGGGAAATGTCTCTCCCTCATTTGTAAGCATCCAATGAGATAATATTCATGAAGGGCTTAGCACATAGTGGGCACTTAATAAATTCTTGTTTTCTTCCTTCCTAGGCTGCAGCAGATGCTACTGCCTGGCTGACATCTCATAGCACCTTAATATACCCTCCTTAACTCAGCTGAGATAGTTCTACTCTGCTGTACCTTAAATAGAGAAACACTTGGATCCAACCTGAATACATTTCCTAAGTATCTCTACCCACAATCCCCAAAGTGGGCAAGGAGTTCCCAGATGTGTGCCACTGCTGGCTACACTGAGGGACTCTAAGGTTATATATTTCTTTTAAAATTATGCTATAGTGCATAGAGTGCTGGCTTTGCACCTGGAGAGGGTTCAAATCCTCTGACACTTATTAGTTGAATGACCCTAGGTAAGTCATATAAGGATCTTAGGCAGGCCCCAAGCAACTCATTGGGGCTAATCAACAGAGTCAATAGATTGGTTTTGGTCTGTGTTGGTAGAGAGGGTTCACAGACCTAGAATTTACTATAATGATAAAAATCCATCATGAATTTGGATAAAATCCCCCAAACGTATCTAGGATTTGGAAAAAGTAAAGTGCACTCCAATAATTTCTGATAAGGTTGTGTTTGAAATTCTGTGCACCAATGAAAGTGATTAGGGTCCATGGTGACCTGGTACTCACATTTTGTGATATAAGACAAGATGCTTACTCTCAAGCAACATATAATCTAGTTGTTGCATTCAGGACATAAACATATAAGCCTCGTTTCAGAGATTATCATGACATGAAAGACCCAGTACTTTGGGAATTTTCTCACTCTTTTTTCTTATGGTCCCATCCAGGAAAGGCTGGGACAATGTATCCTGAGACTTATTCTTCACTTGCAAGCATACAATTCACAGTCTTATAGGCTAACATTTTATTAAAGGAATCGTGAAAACAAATGGAATTCCCCAAATGAATAATCATGAGTAAGTAAAGTATGTGTGTAAATTCTCAGAGTCACAGTCTTAAACATCAGAGCTTCCCCTGATAGAAACTCCTTTCTATAAATTCTATCTTGGCCTTACTTCTCTCCAGTTGCCTGGCTACTCAAAGTGAAGGTAAAGGGAGAGCCTTTATCGTTCTCTTTTTCTCTCTCCTCCTTCTCTCTCCCCTCGCCCTCTCATTTCATCATCTGTTCTTTGTTCTCATCTCTCAGTTTCACTATGAGAGCAAAACCTACCAGGTTAGTCCTGCTCTGCTCCCCAGGTTGTCATGAATCATGTCCCAAAGTCCCTTCCTCCCTTCTGCCTTCTTCACTTTCTCTCAGTTACCATACCATCACTTAATATTTCCTCTGGGGGAGAAACTTTATTTTCTCCATTTACTCATATGGGAAGGGGACAAACTATTCCCACACTTTCTATGTAGATCCAAATGGAAATAAACTGAGTGGAATTCAATAATTTGTTGAACACTGACCTTTATAAAATACATGGTCCCAGCAACTACTTGTGTTCTGTATTTTACAGCTTCAAAGTGGTCATATTTTTCATTGGACTTTTTTTCCAACTGTGGCTTTACCTTAAGAAAAGAGAGGAAGGTAAAGAATTTAGTGGTTATCTGAAAGTATTATTAATTTTGGTCTACTCAGTGACCAATGCACCACTGACAACCATGGAAATTTTAGTCAAACCTCTCTTTTTCCCCAATTCATTAAACAGTAAATAGTTTTTAAAAATTATGTTTTTGCCTACTGTGCCTAAGGCATTGTGCCAAGTGCTGAGGATAAAAGCAATCACACAACCAGCTCCTGCTCTCAAGGAGCTTACATTATACTGGGAAGAATACAGTATTTGCCCAAATTAGTAAATACCAAATAAATAAAAATACTTTCAAAAGGAAGGAATCAAACAGCAATTATTTCTTCCAAACTAGAAAGAAATCACTGATTGAAAGATTGATTGACCACTTAAGTAATGGGTGGCTAGTGTTCCCTCACAGACTACAGGGCACATCTTCTTGTAAGGATTCTATAAATCTCTAAGTTGCTCAGGATGCTAACATCGAGTCTCAGAATCTTGGTTGGAAGATAACTCAGTGGCTAATCTACACGTAGTCCTGTCAATAACAGAAAAGCCACCCCCAGTATATGACATATCTAATGAGCTGAAGGGCAGTGTGGTGCAGTGGACAGAGTGCTGGGTTTCTATCCAGTGGACCAGATCCTGGCTCTGTCACTACCTGTGTGACCTTGAATAAGTTACTTCACTTCTGTGGGCCTCAGTTTCCTTATCCATAAAATAAGTTGGTTTGACCCTAAAGGTTGACCACTAAGCTCTCTTCTGTGTTTAAAATCTATGATCCCATGGTCATCCAGCCTTTGTTTGAAGACTTCCAATGAGGAGGGACAGTGGCATGGTGAAGAATACTGCCTCTGGAGTCAGAGAACCTGAATTCCATTCCTGTCTCTGATCCTTATTACATATGAACTGGTGCAAGTCACTTGGAGCCTCAATTTCCTCATCTGTAAAATGAGGAGGTTGGACTAAATTATCTCTGAGGTCCCTTCCAATTCTAGATTTATGATCCCATGACCTTCTCATTCCACTTTTAGATAACTCTAGTTATTGGAAAAGTTTTTATTATCTCAAGATAAAATTGGCTTCTTTTCAACTCCCTCCCCCCATTGCTACTGGTTCTGTCTTCTGGGGCCAAACAGATCAGATCTCATCCTTCTCTATCCCTTCAACTACCTGAAGACATCTATCATGGTTCCAGTGAGCCTTCCCTTCTCCATGCTAATCAACCAATCAATAAGCATTTATATAACACCTACTTTGTGTTTAGGCATTGTGCTAGGTACTGGGAGTACAAAGACAAATAATCCCTCTGTTTAACCTGGAGAAGAAAAAGACTCATTTTGGTGCCCAAATTTCAGGTGCAGAATTACTTCTTTAGTAATCATCATCATCTGATACTGGTTGTTCAGTCTTTTCAGTTGTGTCCAACTCTTAATAGACCCCATTCGAGTTTTGTTTTTTGGCAGAGATTCTGGAGTGGTTTGACATTTCTTTCTCTAGCTCATTTTATAGATGAGGAAACTGAGTTAAACAGTGTTAAGTGACTTGCCCAGGGCCACACAGCTAGTATATGTCAGACGCCAGATCTGAACTCAAGAAGATGAGTCTTGCTGACTCCAGGCCCAATGCTCTATCCACTGTGCCACCTAGCTGTTCTAAATTTGCAAGGCACTTTATTTACATTAACTCATTTGACACTGTCCTCAAACTAGAATTCAATAAATCAAGAGGCATGGCTGGAAAAGAAAAAATTTAATTAACAGAATCTGATGAGTGGTTGGACCACTAGGTGGTGCAGTGCCTAGATCATTGGGCTTGGAATCAGGAAGACTCAAATCCTGCCTCAGATATTTACTTCTCTGGTTAGGAAAGTTTGTCTTTAAAAGGTTAAGTGCAGCCTGAGCTCAGGGCCAGGACTATGCAATATGTATTCTTTTGATATAATAATAAGCTCCTTTTGCTACATTTTTCCTGAGCCTACCTTATTTCTTTGGGGTGAAACCCTAATGAAAATTTTTCTTTCAACACTGTACTTCTTGGTTACAAGCCTTTATTTGTTTTTCCAGTAGAGGTGAGTAGGGGAAGGAGAGGAAATAGATTTTTGTTGATTGAAAAAAATTAAACTAAGTTAAAAAAAATTTCTTAACAATGAAGAGTCAGGGAAACAAGAAGAGAACATTTTTCCTCCAGCTTCCCTGATACCATACATTGTATTATCAGACTTACCATCTTTGGCCCTGAGCCCTATGCTTCCCAGAATTGCCTCACTCACCCTAACACCTTAGGCAGTGTTAAAATCGGCAACTTCAGAATTTTCACCTAATCTGTGCTATCTTATATAAGCACATACTCATCGATTTTCCAGTAATTGTTACTGTCAGTAATTTCCTACAGAAAACCAGGGGCTTATGATAACAAATAGAAAGGTATAAGGCTATACGTCAAGCACATATAATTTTGTCTGTGTGGGTATATCCTCTGCCTGCATAGATTACAAATAGTCCATAGTATTTGTCTTCACGAGTGGCTGTGGCCAATATACACACATCATCTAGTTCATCATTTTTCTGATAATGGACATTTCAACACTAATCTGGGCTGGTCCTTGGTCAACAGGCATACAATTTGTCACCAGGCCTTTCTGGCTAGGTAGGGCTTGCTAGAGCTTATGCTCCATTGGCATAGCTTTGGAGAGCACAGGGTCACCCCCCCACTATGATAAAGCATTGGAATAGGACTTCCATGGTTTGCACTTAACAGTTATGAGAAGTCTTAAAAATGTATAGAAGTAATAGGTATCCCTGGTCTTCATGGAAATATGAATGGAATTAACTTTCCCAAGTGGAAATGCCTTCTCCTTATCTGTAAATGGGTGTTCTCTGCCTCATTTCTTATTTAGCCTTAAAGACTGAATGGGCATTGCCTGAGTCAAACTGAGACCTGCTAAAGACTTTAGCTTTAAAAGGCCATGGTCCCCCACCGCACTCAGTGCCATCTTGCCACTGGACCCAGATGGCTCCAGAGGACAAAATGAGACTGGTGACTTTGCACAGCCCTCTCTCACTTAAATCCACTTTACTTGCATGTCATGGCATCACCTCCCTGATGTCATGGTTCTGTTTGAGCATGAAGGTCAAACAACAAATGGGTGTGACAGTACGTATACTGACAGGTAGAGTGGTATAGTGGAATCAGCTCTGTCTCTAGTGTCGGGGACTGTTTCAACTTTCTCCTCAGACATTCACTACCTGTGTATCCTTTGGGGCAAGTCATCTCTCTTGACCTCACTTGCATCATCAATTAAATGAGGGTGTTGGAGTAGACCTGTGGTCTTCAGGTCTCATGTGCCCTTCTAGGCTCTTGTATATGGCCTTTTGACTGAGTCCAAGCTTTACAGAACAAATCCTTTTATTAAGGGGATTTTTTTCTGTGAAGTTTGGATTCAGAGGGCTGCACTTGAGGACCTAGAGGGCCACATGTGACCTTGAGGCTGCAGGTTCCCCACCCCTGGACTACATGACTTCCAATGGACCTTCTAGTTCTGGGGGTTCTAAACTCAGAGTACACAGACCCCAAAGGAACCCATGGATAGATTTCAGGGGTCCATGAACTTAGATATGAAAAAAACTACATCTCTATTTCCACTGAACTTTGGTTTCCTTTGTAATCTTACATAAAGTAGAATCACTTTTTTGTTATGTATTTAAAAGCATTGTTCAGAGAAGGGGTGCATAAGCTTCATCAGACTGCCAAAGGGATCCATGACACACAAAAAGGCAGAGAACCCCGGCCTCGCTCTGTGATCCTATGATGGCCTCACAAAGTCATAGAGAACCACAGAAGCAGCAGTTTTAGAGATGGACTGGAGCTCAGGGGCCATCTAGTTCAACCCATCCCAGAAAGGAATCCCTGATATAACATGCCTGGCATGTGATCATCCCACCTCTACTTGAAAGGGAAAGTGAGAGTATCGCCAACTCCACATGTCAGTCTATTCTGCTTCTGATCAGCTCTAATAGTTAATTGACCCTATTTGCAATTTACACACATTGTTCCTGTCATTTCCCTTTGGGTCCAAGCAGAACGAGTCTAATAGTTCTTCCAAATGATAGGCTTTCAAATGTTGAGTTGTTTCAGTCATGTCTGACTCTTCATGATCCCATTTGGGGTTTTCTTGGCAGAGATACTGGCATGGTTTACCATTTCCTTCTCCAGCTCATTTTACAGATGAGGAAACTGAGGCAAACAGGGTGAAGTGACTTGCCCAGATTCACACAGCTAGTAAGTGTTTGAGGTCAGATTTGAACTCAGGAAGATGAGTCTCCCTGACTCCAGGCCCAGTGTTCTGTGCACTCTGGTGCCCCATAGCTGCTGCTTTCTTTGAAAGCTACTGGAGGGTAGATATTTCATTCCCCCACAGTCTTTTCTTCTCCAGGCTGAACACCGGCAGGCCCTTCGATGGATCCTCATGTGACATGGACTTGAAGCCCTTCACTCTATTTCTTGCCTTCTTTTGGACACTTTTCAGCCCATACATGTATTTCACAAATCCATGGAGCCCAGAAATAACACAATATTCCAAATCTGGTAAGATGCAGCATGATCAAAGGAAAAGAGTCGTGGACTTGGAGTCAAGACACTAGGGTTCATGTGAACTCTATTGCTTACTAGCTGTGAGACTTTGGATAAGTCATTTAACTTCTCTGAATTTTAAGTGCTTCATTTGTCAGAGCAAATCAATTCAACAAACATATGAAAGAGCTACACTGTAGTGTAAGACATTGTGCTGAACACTGAGGAGCAATACAGCTCCTCTGCCTTGCACATAGTAGATGCTTAATGTTTATTAAAGGAAGGAGTTGATACTCTAATATGTGAGGAATACCACTTACCACAGATTAATAGGATTCAAGGGACACTGATAAGGGCAGAGAAGAGGTCTAGACTAAGTGCTATAAGGAAATTTGAGGAGGGAGAGATCATTTTGTTGGAGAGATCAGG